AGGTACCTAGTAGCTGCTGCTACGGTACCTAGCCAGCTGGTCCCTGAGGCTGGACTCTGCATGGAGGAGTTCTTTCTTCAGAGTGAGATAATTCGGCTCAGACAGATAGCGCTGCGCTTTATCGAGTCTCCCTCTCCTTCGTGATAGCCTCCTGCAACCTAAGCCTTAGTAGCCTAAAGGAGCCCTGCCTTTGATTCTAAGCCCGAGGTCGAGGCCTCTGATTACATTGACAAGCTCGTTTGCGGCGACATCGTTGCCAAGCTGTGCCCTATGCTGCGACAATCCTGCAGCAGCCTGCAGGTATAGCGTAATACTCCCTAGACAGGGTGGACTGGGCATACACTTGCCAGGTAACCCAGATTTCATGGAGGCGGTGCTTTGGCGTGACAGTTGCCAATGTGGCCTTCTCGGCGCACGCAGGAAGGGGCCACAGCCCCCGGTTGTCAGCTGCAAGTCTGCCGTGCCGTTGCTAGGAGAGCACTCGTTGCACAATCGGGCTGCGCCTGCATCAGGCTCTAGTTTGCCCAGGCACCTTTCGAGTTGCTGCAGAGAAGCGCTTCCACCCACAACACGGTTGAGTGGGCACACGTTGTTTGATCCGCGCCCTCAGGGGAAGAGGCAGGGTCATGTGGTGGCAGCTGCCCCGGGCGACAGCACTGCGCGGTGGTGGGAGCGAGAAGGGGGCCCCAACGTGCGTGACGTGCACAGCATTGGGGACTTTGTTGAGGAGCTGGCAGGCGCAGGAGAGAGCCTGGTGGTGGTTGAGTTCTACGCCAGCTGGTGCGGCTCGTGCAGGGCACTGCTGCCCAAGGTGAGCAAGCAGGCTGCGGCGCCCGGCCGGTGTGAAGGGCCTAGACTGAGGGACGCCGCTGTCACCCTTTTACATGCTTGGAGTGGTTCCTGCGGTCTTCAAAAGCTTGGAAAAGCACTTGGTCAAGACAGGTCATGCACGGCCCAACATTTGGGTGCAACAGAACTACTGTTATCCGGATGTTTGCCGGGGCCAGGAGCGCAGGGGGCCCCTCGTGGAAGAGTCACCTCGGGATCACTTCGATCCCCGGCCTATACAAGCTCTATGCAGAATAGCTAATGAAACTTATCAATTGGCTGAGCCATGCGAGCCAAAGTTCGACTTCGGCCCAGTGATAGTTGGCTCTGCTGCAAGGCCCCAGGGCCGCTTCAGGGCATGCGACCAAACTTGGAGCACCCGCCATCCCGTTTTGGTTGGAGTTTGGGGTAGCCCACATTGTCCGCTCTAGCTTTGCTGTTTTGCAGCAGATTTAAGCGTGCGCTGTGCGCATGGTGCAACATGACTTCTCAAAGATCAGTATGTGCAGGTTCATCAGGAAGGGCTGCTGCCGGCGTTAATGTTCTTCGACATCTGTTGAGAGTGCATTCTCAACGTAATAATTAGCGTCATGCAAGTTTGCCCCGTTGCCAAGGCACCAATTCGCAATTCTGGACCGGAGTTGGAGGTGTGTCGTCTCGCTAAATCCTTTCGTGTCCCTATTTTGTGTGCGCAGCTGCTCAAAATTGCGGCGGAGCACCCCGACGTGACCTTCCTCAAGGTCAACTTCGATGAGTGTAAGGCCATGTGCAAGAGCCTGAACATCAAGGTCCTCCCTTTCTTCCACTTTTACCGTGGCGCAGATGGCCGCCTGGACGCCTTCTCCGCCTCCATCTCCAAGGTAAGGCCATCGCTCGCGGGTGTGCATGTCCTGACAGCGGCCACCAGGCTTCAGCTAAGGTTGGCGGCCTTCCATTTCGTTGGTCTCCAGCTGAGCATCGGTTTAGAAGTCACAGATTGAGGCTGGATGTGCTGATGGTGGAGGCACATACGTTCAAATAACATAGTTTCCACCTTTAGTTGTGATGAGTATGTAAGGAACAATCATTCCTGAGGACTCCTTGAGATCATCTTCCAAATATGATCGTTTGGCATCGTTCATCGCTGGCAGGATGACCCTCTGTATTGCTTGATGAGGAGTTCTGTAAGATGGGGATGCGCAAAAAAGCTCTTTGCATCCTACTGCACTTTTTTAAACGTCTTCATTTGATCGCACTTTCATGTCCGATCACTACTAGCATTGAGAACACATTGGACGGATACATACTTGATTTCGTTCTTCAAAGGTGGTTGGTTATCATGCGGACAGTCACTGTGACTCATCAAATTGTGCACGTAGAAGCATCCATATATTAGCAGAGCTCTGAGAGTTAATTTTCTTGCTCTTAGGCTCAAGCCTGTTTCTCCTTCCCACAGCTGTGGTGTTCTATGCTACATTCTCTGCGTTAGAGGGGAGCATGAATCCAACTGGAAGTGTCGGATTTTCCTGCTGATTGTGGTGTTGTTGATGCAGTTGGCAAAGCTTCGAGAGGCTATTGAGGTGCACAACACCGAAAGGTGTAGCTTGGGACCTGCAATTGGGGTGGGCCCCGACTTCGATTGGGAAGCTGCAGCGCGAGCGAATGCTGCAGCCGCGGCTGCCGCAAAAGCCGCTGCCGCGCACTGAGGTCCACTTGCATAAGGAGCCACCTACGAAGTTCGCTTGGGCGTGTTGGCATGGTATGAGGGCAATCGCACTGCAAAATCTGCATTAAGTACTCCAAACGGAGTTCACTCCAACTGAATTGTAATTTACAGAAAGCATAGCGCTGTAAGTTGATAAACGTCTCACCAGTCCCTGTAGAGGGGCTCTACGTGAAGCCGAATCTCCAAGACGGCACAAAGTCCTCTTTAAAAGTGCAGGCCCTTTGTACGATCCGCACCATGCATGTGGCAATACTCAACATGGGTAAGGAAAGGGCACTGGGTAACGAAAGGGCGCGGTATAGCTCCCGACAACATATATGGTCCTTGTGTATCTGCTTGTACGAGGTGATGTTCCAACAGTACGGAATTCTCGTATATCTGCATGTATTGCTTTGACATTGGATGATTGTCGTGTACCGTCCATATACATTGCTTCAAGTACCTAGGGAGGTATCTTAGTAGCTTTAATTTGCACAGATGCAATGGGCCAATACGTCTCCCAGTGCATGCATGTGTGTAATGCATTCATGCACGTACGTCAGGAACACTAGTACCTGCCTCACCCGGCGCTTTCCAATGTCGAATTCGTTAAGGTAGCTTGCACACTGTTGAGCATCAGCATGCATGGCCATCGAAGAGTGCATTGACTGAAACACGAGCATTGCAGAGATTACAATGAGCATGCTGACAAAAACAAGCTGCTTCCAAGAAAGGGCGCGCCCAGTGGCATGGAAGGGCGTGTTTAAGCACACGCGGAACGCTCTTATGCAAGCAATATGTGGACGGTCACATATGCATCATATCCGTGACTATCAAATTACTCTACGCTATATTGACATACTTCTTCGCATGAGCTAGAACGCATGTGTGAGTCTTGCAGCCACTGGCTTCGGACAGGACTAGTACATCAATTCAGAGCTCACTGCCCCTCTCGCGTGCATGGTCACTAGCACCCACACTCACTTCGAATTGCCTGCAATGGAGCTTAGCTCCTTCATGATCAATACAGGCACCAATATTATAATACGTGTATGTGTACGTCTTGAAATTTTGCTATAACGCAAATCAAGTCCACTCACTAATGAATTGACCGGCAAATCATCCACGCTAGTGGATGATGAGGTCTACCGTCAATGAACAGCTCATGCAGGGCTTCATATGCGCAATTCACCAATCAAAGCAGCCGCGTGACGCGCCGAATCACCATACCGGCGGTCACGTTGAGCTTTGGCTGTACGGTCCATGTTAGGTTGCGCGTCGACCGAAAACGTACCACCCCCCAATTTGCTGTTGTCAGACCACGTGGTTCACAAAACCCTGGTTTCGGCAGTGGTTTGCAGCAAACCTTCCACATCTGTGCGCCCTGTATCACCCAATTCAGCACCAAAATGCTCTATCCAAAGCACATGGGCAATGGCCATGAGTGGTGGCAGTTGCCGACAAAGCTTCTTTGAGCAGAAAAGATGCTAATTTGATACTTATATGCGACACAATCACACCAGTGTTGCAAACATCTTACAAACCCATATTTATGAAAAGCAGGCCTCTGATTGGCTCAAAAACCTGGGATGACCTCGGGGGTTTTAGGTCGACGCGCAACCTTACAGATTCAAGCTACTGTTCAACCAGCGGTTCGTTTGCAGTACGTGAGTATGCACGGCTTGGAGCTAACATGAACCAGGGTTCCATATTTAAACTCGAGTCCAGAGATATGCTCGATTTGGAGTCCTCGAATTATCCACAATCGCATGCAGAATGTGCGCCAACATGACAGCAATGCATGGACTCAATAGCTGGCTACTAGCCTACAAGATTGAGGTCTGTACAGGGTGATGCATCAGAAAAGGATACAAGGCTTAGCATCAATCTGCTATGCATCCCAGGTAACCCATAAGAAAATGTGCCAAAAGCTCGCTCTGCCCGGCCTTGGCTTGACGTCATTTGTTACACAATCTTGCCATCGAGGACAGAGTCGTGTCCGAGTCCCGGTCAAATATGCAGGCCGGCTCCACCACACGCAAGCCGGTGCCTAACGAGAAGGCAGGTCTGGCAATCTGCCTCCTGGCACCGATCCGTGGACCAGCTCTAAAGCTGGAAAATCTTGCTGTAAGCCGTCCACTGAACCAACCGACACAACGCTACTCTCATGATCCGGTGCAAAGTGTTTTTCTCAATCTGGTCCTTGTATCAATGATAACTGGCGCGACGTCCCACGGCTGTGCTGCTCCCCGTATTTGCCTTCGAGCAGGACTGCCCTGTGTCAGTGCCGCCGTCCAACCGTCGTGACTGCACCAGGAGACCTGCCCACCAACACTGCCGCGTAGTCCGTACCCCCGCGGCTATCCGGGGCCGGCTGCCGGGTTGCCACGGCCGTGCTGTGCCTACTGTACAACAGGACTGCACATACAGCGGAGCAAGCCCGCTGCACGCGAGCACGTGGCAACGCAAAAACCGTTTGCGACATACCTGCAGTACTACTGGAAACCTGACTACCGCTCGTCCTCTGCTTTGACAAACCGGCCTTTCACCCGAGTCCGTATGTCTGCCCGCGCCTTGCGGGACTCATACCGGATCGTCTTCTCAAACCTGCACCATTGGCACCACAGAATCAGTCCGCATGGCTTGGCTCATTATGGCGAGCTCGGTGTCCCGCCATCCGTGTCCAAACTCGTTTGGGATGGCTCTGAAGTCTATGTCAAGGCGTCTGTCCCCAGCTGCACTACAAGAAGGATCATCCGCAGGAGACACAGCCCCTGCTGGCTCATCGGGCCTTGGGAATCTTGTGAGCTGTGATGGGGAGGCGGTGAGCAGCCGCGCGTGCAGCAGTTGTGGAAGAGGCGGTCCTCACCTCCTGGTCTTCTTCTTCTCCTTGTAGCGCAGCACCGCGCTGTCCCGGATTTGGCCTGCCGACAAGGGCGGACCCGCACCGCCAGGAGCAGGGGCAGCAGCGGAAGCAGGACTCCGCTTAACGCCGTGCGGACCTGCAGCACCACCAAGAGCGGGAGAGACAGTGAGCCTGAAGGAAAGCAAGCTAGGGGGTACGCTGAAGTCGCCTCCACGAGCTGTAGTGGGCAGGCACGGGAAAAGGCAGCATTGCTATGGGGGAAGTGGGAGGCCTCACCTGGGAAGGTGGCGGCGGCGGGCGTGGGGCCGGGCCCTGGGCCGGGGGTGTGGCCCTGGCCGGAGGTGGGGATGAAGGTGGCCGCGCGCCCAAGGCCGGAGCCAGGGTCCAGGCCAGAGGGGCCGGGGGCAGCGGACGGGGCAGCCTCCGCAATGGGTGGGAGGGGGGAGGCCGAGGTCTGGAAAGAGGTGACTTGTAGTCAGAGCTGGCCAGAAAGATGACAAGCCTTCCCAACACCGGAAGCCCTCTAGAAGCAGCCAACTGTCATTCTCACAAGCAACACGGGGCAGCAGCACAAGGTGCAATGCGGCTCTGACCATAATTCGCAGCAGCTGATAGCCTGGAGGGGCGCGGGTGCGGCGCTCACGCTGGCGGCGCCGTACTGGCGGGTGGGGTCGGGCAGGCCGTCATCGCGGGGGCCGTCTGGGCTCTTGGAGTCGGAGCTGGTGGCCAGGCCGGAGGTGGCGGAGGAGGGCGGCTCCTTGGGCGAGAAGATATCCTCGTAGCTCTCGGGGAAGGCCAGGTCCACGTCCGCCATGGTGAAGGCCGCCACCGGGTCGCTGTCGCTGCCCGCCCCGCCGCCCAGCGCCTCCGCCTGCCACCCCTGCAGCCATGGAGCCACCACAGAGCGGGCTCAGCGCAGGCAGCACGAGGGGCACCCTGTGCAGCATGCCGATTTGCAGGAGATGAGTGCGCACACAGCTGGCCCGGACATCTGCAGATGTCTGCTGGAGCAGCGCAGGAGGGGCAACGCAGAGCACGCCAAACCATTGGCAGCGGTGCAGAGGCCCTCTGCTCCTGCAGGCACGCACTCGCACCTCTTCCTGCTTGGTGGCCAGGTCGTCCCGCCAAAAGGGCCCATCATCCTCCATCTTCTGCTTCTTGGTGGCCACGCGCTCCTCGTTCTGCTTGGCCTGCAGCGCGGCCTTCTGCACCTCCTGCGCTTCTGCCAGCTGGCGCCGCTCGCGGTCCTGACTGTCCTCCAGCGCCTGCCGCTGCTCCTCCTGCGCCGCCGCCTGCAGCGCGCGCTCCGCCGCCTCCGACTGCGCCGCCACCGCAGGCGGCGCGCCAACCCCGCGCAGCCACCCCGGCGCGTCCCGCAGCAGGGGCNCCCGTAGGGCGACTGTCCAGCTGCACGAGGGAGGGCAGC